AATCTTTAGAAAAATTATTATAGTCTCGCCATATATTTTCACATATGAAGGAATTACTATTGAATGAACTCGACCTTGAGGAAGAGCCCCTGGAACTAAAGTTAAAAAAAAGTATAGACGAAACCCACTTAACCTTGAAACAAAAACAAGAGGCAAAAAATTTTTTAAATAGTGAAAAAACGATCTTTACACATGACACCAACAATCTAGGACAAACCAACCTGATGGTATATGAAATCGACACAGAGGATGCAATTCTGATTAAGCAAACCCATATAGGGCTGCCCCCAGCATACGTGAATTCATAAAAAAAGAGGTTAAAAGGTTAAAGGAAAAGAGTCTTATCAAAGAATCTAGAAGCCTCTGGGCCTTCCCGATTGTCATTATGCCAAAAAAAGGTGTGAAGCTGCATATATGTGTTGACTATTGGAAGTTGAATGCTATTACAAAAAAGGATGCTTTTCCCCTCCCAAGAATTGACTAATTGCTGAAAGTATTTAGCTGCATCTTCTGGTTCTCTCCCTGGATTTGATGTCAGTTTACTGGCAGGTGAAAATAAAGGAGCAAGACCGTGAGAAAACCACATTCGTAACCAACTCGGGTATCTACGAGTTTCTGGTGATGCCTTTTGGCTTTGCAACATTCCTGCCACCTTCTAGCATCTGATGAATCATGTGCTGGTGGTGTGTATCGATAAGTTTGTTGTTGTGTACCTTGATGATATTATTATTTATTCCCCTCTTTTGATGATCACATGAAGCAACTACTATCATTTTTAATAAGTTGCACAATGTTAAACTTAAATTAAATATGTATAAGTGCTCTTTCTTTAAACCCTATCTGCAATTTCTAGAGCATATTGTCGTCATGATGGTGTTCGTCCCGATGAGAGTAAATTAGATAAAATAAAGCATTTTCTAACTCTAGTAAATCTGCACCAACTTTGTGAATTCATAGGATTAGCTTTCTACTATCAGAAGTTTATTCCAAAATTCGCTTTGATTATCTGCTCCCTTCACTATTTATTGTCGGGGATGATGCTGAAATCGGATGATGCTGAAATTTTGACTTATTTTATTATGAAAATGTAAAATTTTTTTG